TTGCGAGATGCATGGGTGGATTCTTCTTCCATCAAGATTCCCATCCTATCTGTTAGTTTGTCGATTCTAGCATCTTGATTTTGCATGCACTTGGTCAAGCCAGCGATTGCTTCCGTCAAGTTTGCCAACTGCTCCTCCATAGATGAAGTGTTTGTCACCATGGCTGGCATAATTGTCGTGGACGATAGAGAATAGCATGGATTGTCACACGTATTGATATTCGATTGGCTCACGCTATATGGTGTAAGTGGGAAGGATCCATCACTTGAAGTATCATCGTCTTCCTTCACAACAGAATACTTGGATCCGGAGAGGTCAAGCAGAGCAAGAGTTTTCTTGATCTTTTCAGCAGCATCGCTTCCTCATTCGGGAGCGTTTGTGGAAGATCTTGCTCCTTTTGAGGATGGAGATCCGAAAATAAGGGTTGATGCGGACGGCACTTGGGGTGCTTGTTGTCCTAATGAGCTTGATTTGCTCCTCGTAACTTGTCCAAAGCTTCTAAAGGTAACATCGAGGATGCTTTCCATGTCAACATAGAACCTGAAATTAGCAGCCTTAGTGGAAGTTGAACATGAGTTGATTTTCTTTGAAGCCATTTCAATGTTCTTAAACTTTGGTGATTGAAAAGTTGAGATGAGAGGTAAAGATTGTCCCACTAGCGTGCCAGAATTTGGAGACAATAAATTGCGTCGAGAAAATAAAATCAAGAACGAAAAATATTGCAACAATCGTAGTATTTTATTCCGAATATTTGAGTGTACAATCTCTATGAATCCTCTGATTCTTCTTTCCAATAGTAAATAAATTCAAGGGGCTTTGAGCTTGATCTTGAATCTATATTTGTTTCTACGAACGATGATCTTGAATTCAACTAGCACGAACATTGATTTGAACTCATACTCCTTGAACCTTGATTTGTTCTTCGTTCTTGAGCTTGAACTTGATTTGTTCTTCGTTCTTGAGCTTGAACTTGATTTCTTGGACTTGAACTTGAAGCTTGAAACTTGTGGAGGAATTTGAAACGTTTGATCCACGAGCTCTTTCTTGCTTCTTGTTATAACTTCTAACGTCTTTCCTGGGTTATGAAGACCCCTATTTATAGTTGTAGGAGGGAAGAGTTATGATAAGAACAAACTCTTTCCGACCAATCAAATTGAAGTGTGACAAGGCCGCATTTGATTGGCCAGAACATGTCACTTGCACACGTGGCGCGATTTCATTGGCCTTTTAATTTGACTTGGCATGCCTTGTCATTTTGACACGTGGCATGATCCTATTGGCTCTTCCGCTTGACTTGGCATGCCACGTCATATGGCACGTGGCACCAAACTAGGCCTCTAGGAAGATGGCATATTGGGCCTAAGAAAGTGGGCTCATTGCTTTAGCCCAAATAAATGGGCTACCCCAATAGATTAAGGCTTATTTATTTAATTCATATATATTGGGCTTATAATTAATCCAATTATATTAGCCGGATATTTGCACTAATATATCTTGAATTTTAAAATATAATCCTAATTATTTAAGGATTTAATTCCAATAAAATTTATATGCCTACAGCTCCCGCAGTGATATAAAGAAAGACTATGAGTTACTTTTGTGATTTGGGACTACGAGACGGTACCTCAGTCAATTATCATCAATATATCTTAGTAAATGATAGATTTCTCAAAGAGCAATTGGTTTGATAATGTTACGTTGAAAATATAGTCGTCGGAATATGTGTTTAGTAGTGTATGTCTCGTATTTAAGAAAAAAATCCAATAAAAAATTTAATCGAGTCGATAAAAAATTGACTTAATTGGTTTGGTTTGATTCCAATATATGAAGAACCGACTTACTTGGTTTGGTTTTTTTTAGGAAAAATTCGATCCAAACCGAACCATGAACACCCCTAGTCCCGGCACTAGTGAACTGAGTTTGCATTTAGATACTTCAAGGTACACCTACTCGTGTATGCAGGCCTCGGAGTCCCCTTCTATCTATTTTTATATTTTCCTTCTTTACTAGACATATTTATATAGGAATGGTTTTGGTAGTGTCATAGAACTTGTGACTTGTATTACGACTGTTTTTGGGCTATTGTATACACTTTGGGTTGTAGAGATTTTCCTTTCTATATATGTTGTAGAGTTTTGAAATTTTAAATTATTATTTCATTCACTTCCATATGTTTGCTAGACTTACCTAGTCTTAGAGACTAGGTGCCGTCAGTACATCCTACGGAGGGAAATTGGGGTCGTGTCATATCATTATTGAGTCTTTTTTTTATAAGTGAGGTAAAAACTATCAGGTTTTATCATTATTGACTCTTAACGTGATTTGTGTATGATAGATAAGAAACTTAGCAACTAGAGTGGTTGTAAAACTTTTTTATTTTTGATTACTTATTATCATATATAATGTCACCAGGTTCCGTTACTTTATTTGTAAGATGCAATCCATTCGTCATATTCACTATTAGCCTTTCAAAGAGTCCTTCATGAATATCTTGAAATTACTAGATTGTTTTAGTTTTATTTTTTCAATGTTGTTACCAAGTACTACCGGGGCATAATTTTTTTTCCTTTGGATGTTTAGTATTTTCTGTTGTAAAGTGGTTTTTTATTTACTAATTATTCTGTTTATATCAATTGGGTTATGAATATTTTGAAAGTTCAGGTAGACGAGTTGAAGACGTTTCTGATCAGTGTTGTACATGTTCTGTGAAAAGAAAGAGGGTTTTATTTTTTTCTTTTGAATCTTCCTTTTCTGATTAACTTCAGCATCTAGCTTAGGCAGTGTGAGAGAAATTGTGTGATGCAAGTCATCTTAGTTCTTCAGCTGAAGCCAATTTACTTCTGCTTTCAGTGAATTCGGCTTGTAGTTTCAAAATACTTCAAGCATTTTTGCGGTACAACAAACAATAGTTACATGTCTGAGTTGCATGAAATCTTAAACCTGCTCATTGTTGTTGGCGCATTGAAATATTATTCCCTGTCATAAGTTACGACAAATGATTGTATTCTAGCATGCGTATGCAGGATGTTGCTTGCTTTGCAAAATCATAAAATATTCTTATCTAGATGAATTTTAGTTATGTATTACTTATCATCATCACTTACTTAACCTAAAGGCTATCGTCCGAGAAGGAAACACATAAACATAGGATGAGGCACTTCAGCTGCAATCGAACCATTAGCAAAATTATATAAAGGGAGTTTCCCGTTGTTGTTTTGTTCACTAAAGAAGGTATTATTGTGCGGCTTAATCATTATTTCATTTTTAATTTTTAATGCGGATGTTCCTCTGATGACTCAATATCTTGACCTTTACAAGGTCACTTCGAATGCTGCTATTTCAGATTTTCGGTACTGTTGCTTAGCTTTTCAGAGAAATTGCTTTGATTGAAAAGTTCCTAGAATGACTCTGCTATTGAATGAATTAGAGAAGATGGCTCTGAATGTAAACCTTATTATATGGATAACAAGCAGAAAAATGGACACGACTCTATTAATTCATGCTACACAGAGTCTCAAAAGGGACGAGAACTGCAAGATAAGTTGGCATTGGGAGGAGTTATCGATTTCAAAGGCACCCTATAAGATTCAACTGTTTTAGTTGGCCTTCAAAATAGTTATGGATTTCAAATGTACTGTTTGTTATGTATGCTATCATTGTTTACACTTTAAAGCCATATATAGATAGCATACTCTGATGGTCCATATAGCCTTTTTTCCCCTACATAGCCCGAAAACAGATTGACGAGTGCTGAATGCACTAACACATTAAAAAATAGTTAGTTCTTTTTGTTACAACGTGTTCCCATGTACAATTGAAACAATATACATAATACTTCAGACATACAAGATTCAAATTGAGAAATGGTAGAACAACAAATTCTTGATGGATTGTGAGAAATGTTAGAACAACAAATTATTAGTGATTGGTGAATTTCACATAGTCCACTCAATTCTGAATTATTTCGATCATCTGCGGGTCCAGGTTCTAATGTTGTCTAGAGTATCAGTTTATCCAATAAAGGATTAAGTTTTGAAATGGATTGTTGCCTAGAGTATATCTAACAAATGATTAAGGTTTGAAATGGATTGTATTGACCGTAAGTTCGAGCCTAGATGGCCGAAGAGCAGACTTGAAAGTTCGATATAGAATTATATTATGAATCAAACTATAGAAACCAAATGATATAGATAAGAAACCAGAAAAAATAGACAAAATATGTAATGACAAAACTGAATAACAAAGACAAACAATAATATTAGGCATACATGCCAGTGCACAACACAAGGCTTACATATCTAGTCTACAGAGAGGCAATTAGGATGGCGGGCAAGCTAGCAAAGGAAGCAGGGAAGTAGGCAGGAACATGAACAAACTTTTTGGTAGTTCCTCCGATGTTTGTCAATGAAATACTATGGTCCGACATCCTAGGAACTATTTTTGAAAGAAAGACAAAGGACTACAATATTTTCAATGTAGCAGTAGACTACTCTTTGTTTGTGGCTGTGGCCGGTACACCACAACATCTACATGTAATAGACAACTAATTAGTTTTTAATATAATATAATGTTTGACCCCCAAAAAAGAAAAATGAGCATGTTAATTGCTTTTTTATTTTCTAAAAAGTTTTTTAAGTAGGTATTTGGATAATATTTGGTTAAAATTTGAAAAAAGAAGAGTATCAAAAGTTGAAGTAAAAAAAAAAAGTATTTAGAAGTTGAAGTTATGGCTCGATATGAGTTTAACTTAAAAAAAATAAAATTTTATAAGTGAAAATTATTATTTTACTTAAAAATATCTTCAAACTAGTTTATCAAATATTAAATTTTCTGTTTCAAATTGAAGTTGAAAAACTTGACCACATTGTAAAATGAATATTTTTCAACCTAAACTTAAAAATTGGCAATATCTATTTTTATATTTTTATTATATGTTTAGAAACTCAAAAAGAAAAAGAAAAGAAAAGAAAAAAGAACCATTAGGGCCAAACATTATTCTCAAGGGCACAAACCTAAAACCCTTATGAACGAGCAGTAGTCCCCCCACTTAGCTTCTCCACATTTTGTACTGAACATTCCCACAGTACAAAAAGGCTTTCGCATTCTTCGAGAATCTGCGCTCTTTTCACTCTATAACCCGATCTAGGGTTTTTTCTCGTGCTCGATCTTCTCACATTTCCAACATTCTCATCACTTTTCCGGCCACATACTCAGTCTTAAATGGCGTATCAAGGACAAACTCTTGATATTTCCGGCGACCGCCAGTCCGGTCAGGATGTTCGCACCCAAAATGGTAGCGTACCGTCTAATCTCGGAGCCTTTTTTTTTTCTATACATTTATTGGTTTTGTTTTCTAGTTAAGTAGTGATTGTGTGTGTTGTATTTTGGGATTTCAGTGACTGCATGTCAAGCAGTTGCTAACATTGTCAAATCCTCGCTTGGACCTGTTGGCCTCGATAAGGTCTGTTTCTCCTTTCCCCACTTATTGTGTGTGTTTGTGTACTTGTGGTGTATTGCGTTACTTGTCAAATTTACGATCTTGCTCTCTTCTTTGTAATTATATATCTGGTTGGAGGATGTTCCTAGTTAGGGTTTTTAGATAAGAATTTCTAACTTAAAAGATAAATTATTGAGTATTGGAATGAAACTGGTTCAAATGTAGAGGAATAGAATATTAAGCCTTATTACTGTCAAGCCAACTAGTTTGGGACGGAGGAAATAATTTATCATTTTGTGTTTTAGTTGACTTGCTTTTTTATGGTTTAGTCTTCTCTATGGCTAGCACTCTCCATTTTGCCCTGCAAGTGTTTCAGGGGGAATCTATAGATGCTAAAGTTAGAGCTAATTAGCATATTTACACTTATGGATAATTCTGCCAAGCACTTTGGAAGAGTTTATGCAAAAGCAGGTTCTCTGTATCTGTAAAATTCTGCCAAGAAATATAATTTAACGTAACATTTTATCTTGAGCTGGCTGGCCAGCCTCTTGAGTGGCTGTTATCTTTTAGCAAGTTTGTTTGTCTTTATAGGATTGATTTGAGGAAAATAACAAAAAGGTAAGTGAGAATATTTGCTAAGCACTGTCCATACTGCGAGCAGTTTTCCCTATATCTATCAATTAATCCGTTAGGCAGGTTCAGTATGGTATGAGTAAATCCTCTGTTCAAGCGTATGTTGGGTTTATAAGCATTTGCACTTGGGTAAAAAGTGGTGGGCTAATATTAAGTTGAGAATTAAACCTGAAGCTTAATGCACTGATTTATGAGAGTCATAATAGATGTAGAAAGATGCTCTTAAACATTTAGTACCAAAACTATCACATGTCAGACTTCGGTGAAGTGGCATAAATTCTTGACAGAATAATCTGCTCTGTGATCATCTTTACCTTGGACGTCAGGAGTAAGCTTAGTTTTGTAATCTGGAGATGGATTTTAATATAAAGTAGCAAGGCTGGTGCGAGCTGGACAATCACTTACCAACCAAATCCTTTATATTTGACACTGAACATGATGTGTATGCTCTAGAAACTTTTTTAATATCTTAAAATATGGATTGGATGATACTTATTAGTATTTGAATTTATCGAATTAATTATCTTAATTCCCGTCATGTTTCTATTTGTCCTGTTATCTAGGAGCCGGAGTGATTGTTATCAGTCACCATCTTTCAAAATTTCTGACTTCTGTCTGTTAGAAGAACTCATAGAGTTTGTGATGCACGTATCCATCGGCTTGAAAGGTTTTGGAGATATTGTAAAGAACAATTGGGTCTGTCTTATTAAAGAAAGGAACAAAATGGTTTTTAGTTCAACATTTTAAGGGAAAATTTTCATACATTTGGTGTTTGAATGGTCAATTGATTGTTGACTCACTGGTATTGATATGAATCTCAGATGCTTGTTGATGATATTGGCGACGTAACAATTACTAATGATGGTGCCACAATTCTGAGGATGTTAGAAGTTGAGCATCCAGCTGCCAAGGTAACCACATGAAACGTCTATTTTCTCACGTAGGCTTAATGTATAAACTCTTTGAAAGAAGTTATGGACCATTGTAATGCAATATCTCATAGGTTCTTGTTGAGTTGGCTGAACTCCAAGATCGAGAAGTTGGTGATGGAACAACCTCAGTCGTTATTATAGCTGCAGAGTTGCTTAAGGTATTCTTGCAGATCTATTGCAATGCAGGAACTTCCCTAAGTATTTCAAATTCAAGTATTTAGTGCTCACAGTTTCTGTTGATGTTCTCTGTGTTAATATTTGCAGGGAGCAAATGAGTTGGTGAGGCACAAAATTCACCCGACCTCGATAATCAGTGGATATAGGGTAACTATCTGCATTCATTTCACATGCAACTAACAAAGAATAATGACAATCTTTTTCTCTTGCAAATTGCCTTTCTAATATTATATTGCACTTATTTCTGGCAGCTAGCAATGAGGGAAGCGTGCAAATATGTCGAAGAAAAGTTGGCTGTTAAGGTAATGATTCCTGGTCTCTGGCCTGCGTATTATGCTGATTTATCTGCCACCTATGAAGTAGTTCATTTAAATGCTAATCTAGCTGGCATTATCTTTGAAATGTGGAATATACCTTGCCGACCTTATGAGAAAAGGACATTTTCTGAAATTTATGAATATTAAGGTTGAGTCTCATCACTAACAGGGTGCACTTGCAGTTTTGTGCTTCTCGTAATTTTTGTCATTGGTAAGGTGTAAGAAGCAGTTAATCCTATATTGTATTAGGTTGAAAGCATGGACAAGGCTTTCGATCTACTGCATTATTGTGTTAAAGGCTCAATTTGCTTAACCCTTATATAGGTGAACCCTAGGTTGAACGTTTTGCCTTGCTTAGGTGGTGCTTTAGTGCAAGTGCCAAGGCGCTAAGGCACTTGTCGCTCATCTCCCACGACTCTGTTGTTAAGAGCACAACATTAGACAAAAGTATCATTGGCAAAGTGATATTAAAGTTGTGAAGGATATGGTATAAATGAATCTTTAGGTTTTAGCATTAGAAAACTAGTTCCTGATACTTATAACTACATCTTAACATCTAAACCAGAAATCTAGAGTTTAACTTGGCTTATGTGTTTTTACTTCATAAATATTAATCAATTTTAGTTTTTTTCAATTCTTATGTCTAATAGTTATTCGTTGTCTATAAATATTTTTTCATATAACAACAACAACCACCCAGTAAAATCCCACTTATGGTGTATGGGGAGGGTAGTGTGTACGCAGACTTTACCCCTAGGGAGGCTGTTTCCGAAATACCCTCGGCTCAAGAAAACAAAAAAGTCAAAAGGACAAAAGGAGACAATATTAGTATCAGTATCACCACAACAATCATAGGAAAAATAAGAACACCATGAAATCCAGAAAAAAGATGCAAAGCAAAGGGATACAATATTAGTATCACCGTAACAATCATAAGAAAAATAGGAACACCATGAAATCCAGAAGAAAGATGCAAAGCAAAAGGGATAGCTAGTAAATAGGACCTGCACTGAAAAACGAAATAGTAAGACACAACATTGCCACTAGCTATCTTAGACAAAAACCCTACATGGCTAGTCCCACAATGGTACAAAGTAAGGCACGACTCAACTACCTCCTAACCTACAACCCTTATACTCGACCTCTACATCATCTTCCTATCAAGTGTCATGTCCTCGAAAATCTGGAGTTTCGCCATATCCTCCCTGATCATCTCTCCCGAATACTTTTTAGATCGCCCTCTACCTCCTCTCGTGCCCTCCACAACCAGCCGCTCACACCTCCGTACCGGAGCATCTGGACTTCTCCTCTG